GTGAAATTTGATGCCAAGATATGTGACCCTATTTCTTTGATAAGCTTTACACCACTTATCCACAACTATTGCAAAGTCAGGGCTCTCTATGCGATGTACTTTCTCCTGTTTAACTTTCTCTCCAGGCAGACTCCTGCTCTATTCTGATTAGATATTCTGGATGCCACAGCTCCTTCTTTGTCCCTTTTATTTCTACAACTTGCCAAGTGTGATCACATGTAGACTCAGATTTTATGAAAGTGTCTGCAGGAGCCTGAGAGCTGCTGAAGGCAGCGCTGGGGGCAGAGCACGTAGGATGTCTGTACGTACCCACCTGTTTCTCCCTTTGTCTTCAGCAGTTCAGTTTCCTGGGAGACCAGAGCCCACCTTTTACTTTTTAAAAAGTGACATCACAGTTTTAAGACTCTTTCTGTCATTCTGCTAGGTTAGTTTTTATCTGACCTCCAGGAGTTAGAGTCCCTTCAGTTCATTTCCAGATTATGTCACTTTTCCCGCCTGGGCAGCAATAAGTGTTAAGATCTAGGAATAAGGAATAAGTGTTAAGATCTCTATTTAAAAATTGTGTGCTCTGTGTATCTGTTCCTGCTCTGAGAACACAACTGTCTTTGAGGCGGGAAATGCAAACATTTGGTGTTTTCCTTTTATTATTTTTAAAGGACATTGCATGTCCATCTTCTCATGTACAGAAGACACAGTTTCACTGCCTCTTCCTTTCTTGGCAGTGGTAGGAGATGTAGCAGGCCCTTCTGCCCTGTAAATTTCTGTGCTGGTCTCATCTTCATTATGGACAGGACTGATGGCTTATCTAGAAGACTGCAGGATAGACATAACCGATATTGTTAAGAGGACACTTGAATACCTTAGCCCTCTGTATTTATGCTTGCTACTCTCCCTGCCAAGGGAGGTGTGAAGACATTTAAGATAAAGTGCTTTGATCCCCTTGGAAAGCAAAACGGTTTTAAGAGGAAATATTATGGTAATTAGGTCCCTGGTGAAAGCACTGTGTTGCTGTCAGGTGTGTCTGGTGGTTAACATTAAGGCACTGTGTTAGCTGCCAGGATGCCAACTAGAAGGAAACCATTTCCCCATGTGGAGCCAAAGTAAAGAAGTTCATTTAAACAGTGTTTAAGGATGAAGATGGATTTTGATGAATGCCATGTGCGTTTATTGATCTGATAGTCTAGTAATTCATCTTATTATCTGTTGCTCTAAGACAGTTGTTTTTTTAACCATTTTTAAGTACCTTCAGTTGTCACCTTGAATAATTTTCTCAGGTTGACCTGTATTTGACACGATACTGAGTAGAATATTTATTTAATGACTTTGGGGTAACAGAGACTTAATTAAGAATGTTTAAATATCTGTGCCCATGTGTTATGAGGTAGTTTCCATGCTAGGAATATATCTTACAATCTTTCTATTCCCACAATTCTAAATATTTGAAAGACTGTCAGGTAGAATAGGGGCAGACTCATTTGCTTTGCTTAAAAAGACTTGAAGCCAATAAAACACTGGGTAGATGTGGTAGAGAAGCCAAATTTAACTTGACACGAGGAAGACTTTTATAGACACGTGGCTCCCCTGTCACCCTGCCTCCCCTGTGGCCCCGCTCCCTAGGGGACGGCTGGGTGGCATGGTCTCTCGGGAACAGAGTAGGCAGCCTGAACCTGGAGATACCCAGGCTTCTTTCAACCCTTAGATCCTGAGAAGATGAGAAGACTGAAGTGTAAGGAGATGAAAGATTTGCTTTTACATGTTAAGAACTTAAGAAAGTGAAAGGTTCAAGCACCTTTGTCATGTTTATTAGAAAGAAGTGTGGAAAATGAGACTGAAGGCAAGTTGGGTGCTGCCCTACAGTACTTGTAGCCTCTTGGAAGCATCTTTCGTTACTCCGGGAGCAACTGCAGGGCTTTATTGGGACATAGCCTTTTCATAAAGAGTCCCTCCCATGCCTCCCTGTTCCTGTCCCCAACCCCTGGGGAATGTTACTTCCACCAACGCATTGCTCTACAGCTTTCTCCTCTGTGAACTCTCTTTTGATCCTTGTTTCCCTTTACTGCATACGTAATCGGCTCCAGGCACACTTTTTAAGTGTTCCTTGACCTTGATAATACCTCAGCCATTGGGCATTTCTGTATAACTGGGACTTGAAGTCAGAAAGTTTGCATCTTCATGACAGCTCTGCTATTTCATAACTCTGATGGCGGACATAATCAGGACCCTCAGTTTCTCCTCTACTGGATGAGGATTTTAACTACTAACCTCCCCTTCCCCTCATAGGTGTATTAAGAAGATTAAACTAGTTAAAACATAGAAAGTGTCATAAGTATTTAACGAATTACAGTTATTATTTGATTCAAAGCTGAGAACTAGATTATTAAGAAACAATTATTGGGGCCTCCCCGGTGGCCAGCTGGTTGAGCATAGCGCCTTGAAGCTGTCTGCAGCCTCTGCAGATTCCCGGCCATTCAGGGAGATTCCCACATGGTACAGCAGACCTCTCTTGCCTTGCCCGCTGCTCCCCTCAGCAGTGTTTTCCATCTGTCTGCCTGTTCTGCTACCTCCTCTGTCTCTGGTGAATCCTCTCACCCTTCCTCACCTCTGGCTTATACCCCAGTTCTTGTATAAATTTAAAAAAAAGTCTTTAAAAAATGAGAAACAATTATTAGTAGAGTTGATTTAAGAAGAAAAAGCAGGTTTTGTATAAAACAAAAGTTTAAGTTCCTCTTAACAAAGATACTCCCCAAAACACCTAAATGACATAGACAATATGTGATAGCTGTTTCCTTTCTGCAGAAATTGCCTTCATGCTGCACCTCCTGGGGAGTTGGTCTCACTCAGTACAGTCTGTCCTGTCTCTCCTCTGTGGTCCAGCCCTCAGGGAAGAAAAAGTTCAGGGAAATTGTTTCAACTTTAAGTAGAGGAACCAGAAGTTGTGTGTATCATTTATGGTCACATCTCATTGTCCCCTAGATGCAAGGGAAACTAAAGGGGTTCCTACTGAGATGGACAGGTTAAATTTGTGGCTTTGTCATTGAATGGCTGTGGTACTTCGGGAAATTGGTTTAACCTTTCTTTGTGTATTTTCTTGTTCTTAGAAGCAGGGTAGTAGGAGTCCTGCCTCATAGAATTACATTAATGTACATAAAGCATTCAGGACAGTGCCTTGCTAAAGGGAGGCATACACATATATGTGCACACATACATACATACACGTATGTGTACATACATGCACATGTATACACACACAAGTGTGTGCCAGTGATTGGGGTTTTAAGAAGGGACGACTGACTTGGATATCAATGAATGGTCTCTTCCATGGGAGGAAACCAGAGAGTAGGGCTCTGTAGTCTGCCTTTATTAATTGAGGTTTCTGGGTATCCACAACTTTATTGTAATTGCTTTAAGTCCCAGAAACCAGTGCTATACAAGTTTTGTTTTAGGCCTGCTTTGGGTCAACATGAGGAAACCTTATGAATTATGTTTCTAGATCTTCACTGTAGCTTGTCATTAATATACCAAGGAAGTAGATTAAAGGAAGGATTCTATTTATAACTATATCAATCTATAATTATATTATTCATTTCTATAGTAGATCTGTTAGTAAAAAAATGACTGTAAAGTGAAGTTTCATATATTAAAATCCATTTCTAGTTGATGTCAATTAGAACATGTACACTAATGGGATCTACTGAAAACAACTGCAATCTGATGTTTTTAACTCCTGTTTTTTTCTTCAAGATCTTACCCCGTGTGTTTGTACACCTACTTGTAGGTTTGCACACCCACTTGGCAGTTCCCAAACTTTGCTGCATAGAGCAAAATTTCAGGAAATGATTCTGTGCATTCCACCATAGGGGGATATTAGGTCAAATCAATTTGGGAAATAATGCATACTGTGTCTTCCACTTGGAGATTCCTGAGGAAATTAGCATATTAAAAGCTATGAGAAAGACAGGGAAGACAACCTGTTTAATTTTCTTCAGTTCACTTGACAAACTCATTTGAAAATGGGCTTTTCAATTTATTGGTTTGTTTTTGAGTGACACTGCTGTAACTGTTCTGGAAAGCAGGATTCTGCAAATATGGGTTCTGGCAGTGTCGCATTCCCAGCCTACTTGAGTGTAGTCCTTACCAGGCCGCTAATTCTGTGAACTGCTGGCAATTTCTGCTCTTATTTGTCATAGAGTCAGGGTGTCAATACTTGTTTATCTGGAGAGAAAGTAATGAGAAGATGGTCTCGTGTGAGAGAAATGGAAGTTTGACATTGCCTGATGAGAGGTGCTGAGAGTTAGGAATTAATCCAGCAGCAGACAGTTCAGTTTAAACATTTCAAATGTCAGTGTCTGTGGGGTCTAGAAGCCAGTTTTGTACTCTCACAATAAATTGTTTGAGTTAAAACTTTGACTAAGATCCTGTATAAGAGCAGTATATCCATCTCAAGACTATCTAGCAGAAGAGAAAACTTGGAGGATTTTTTTTTTTTAGTTCAAGAAGAAATAATAGATGCAAAGATTTTTTGGTAAACCTCTCCAGCTGAAAAACCTAGTACTACAAGTGTGCCAGAGATAATCCACATGTAAGTGGTATCTGTGAATGTGGCCACTGAACAGTTTAGACAGATGGTGGTCTCCCGTTGTGTGTAAATTTAAATCCTCGTCCCATTCTGAAGATTGATTTTATTTCTGGGTCTTGTTTCATATCTAAATTGCGTAAAACTCTACCATTAGAAATAAAAACAAAACTGCTGTATAAACAGTCAAGCTACCCTATTCAATAAAATGTATGCTTTTTTAAATGTTTCATTCTGATTTTAAAATGTATACTCAGCAGACATTTAGAATATGCAGAACATCTTAAATAATAATTAAATCATGTAATTATACTGTATGGCAATAATCAGTTAATATTGGGTGTATTTTACTTTTTTCAGTTTCTCCTATCCATATTAATGTATTTTGATTATATTAGATGTGATACTATATGCACATTTTGCTTTCTGTTTTTTTGTAATCCTTTTTCATCACTATTAAGAATTCATGGTATAGCGGGTGGAGTCATATTTTATTACAAATCCTCTTCCCCACCAACATGTAACTGACCAATCCGGGATGCCCCTTCTTGGTTGGAATGTTAAGGGTGTGCCTTGGAGTTTGTTGTGATTGGTGTATCCATGGCTACTGGGCAGAGCCCTGTGGTGGATCAGTGCCATGGAGGGGCCGCCATTCTCTGGATCTTGGCTATAGGCTGATCCTTGGGAAGTTGGGTGAGGTGGTGATAGCACTGCTGTCCAATGGCTTGGGTCCATCACTCATTTTTTAGAGTCCCAGTGGGAAACAGTGGTGTGTCCACCTTTTTATCAGCTTAATGGCAAGTCTCTTATGTATAGACTTGTTCAGTCTGTTAGAAGTTGACTTTATCTAAGAAGTGAAAAGCAGCAGGCGGAAACACTGGCTGCGTGGATTGGGGGAGAAATGCCAACTTGTTGACAAGGTTTATGCTGCTAAAAAGAAGTGTATGCAGAGATGGAGACTTGTTTAGAAAGTGCCAGACTAGAGAAAGAGTCATTCAACACAGCCAGCCTTGCAGACACGGAAAGGTGATGAGGGTCAACTTAATTTTCCTGGAGGAACTGAATACACGGGTTCAAGAATTGAAGGAAAAGAGAGAGTTGTATAGTCAAAGCAAGAAAAGGAGATGGTATGGATCCTGTGCCCAAGTCTCTGGAAGAGCTTCTGATAAACACCACATCACGCCGACCACTTCTAAACTGCCAGGGGCAGGCGCGAGTCCTGTAGGCCCTTTCCCCAGGAGGGCACCTGGGTTTCAAAGCAGCACTCTTCCGGCCTTATGTTAGAATGCTGTGTCATTTCAACAAGGTGGCAGTTTTATTGGCAAATAATGAAATTTTGCTTTAGTTTGTATTTTTTTTTAAAGGCTATCTTTTTTTTTTTTTTTTTAAAGATTTATTAATTTATTTATACAAGCACTGGGTACAGTCAGAAGCGCGGGAGGGTGAGAGAATTCACCACAGCCAGAGCGGGGAGCAGAGCAGGCAGAAGGACCGAAGTACACTGCTGAGGGGAGCAGCGGGCGGCAGGAGAGGTCTGCGCGCCATTTGGGACCCTCCTCCGGTGGCCGGGGAGCAGCCGGGGATCGAACCGGCGTTGCAGAGGCCGCGGGCAGCTTCTCAACCCAGCGCTCAATCGGGGAGGCCCTAGTTTGTATTTTTTTTACTGATGAGATGGAACATTTTTCCGATATGGTCTCTAGCCCTTATATTTTTTCTGTGAATTTTCTTTGCCTGTTTTTCTGTTGTGTCGCTATGGGGATGTCTGTGTTTTTTTCTGTTACTTATGAAAACATATACCTATTAAGGATACCAAGTTTTTGTCATATTGTCAATATTTTCAGCAGTTTTGTTAGATGTGTGATTTTGCAGTTTTTGCTATGCAGAAATTTCAGATTTTTTGAAGTATGTGATTCCTTTTCATTGTTTCTATTTCTTTTTTGTTTAAAGCATTATTCCTGATTCATGGAAATGATAATCAACTTTATTTCCCTTTTTAGTTTAGACTTGTTCATATTTATTTCTGGAATGTTTTGGGACTTATTTTGTGATGGGATATAAAATGTAGCTCTAACCAGTCTTTTTCTTTCAAAGCAGCAACTCAGTTTCCCCACACAATTGATGAAATAATAACAATTTCTTTCTCATTGACTGGTGGTCCTGTCTTCATTTTATATATTGGGTTGTTGAAAAAGTTGTGACACATTTTTGCTTGAAAAACATAGAGAAAATACATCACGACTTTTCCGACACCCAATTCTTTCTAACATAGTCAAGGTCTGTTTCTGAATTATCTCTTCAGTCTCATTGGTTTATGGTTTTTGTTCTCAAGTAACACATTGATTTAATTATTGTAGCAACAATGCTAATTTTATATTTTCTTTTCCAACAATTAGTATTCCTTGTTTCTAATTCATGACTTTACTTAAGCCAAGATTTCTAGAACAATGTTTAGTAGAAGTGGTAATAGTGAACTTGCTTGTTTTGCTCCTGATTTTAGTATAAATGTTTTTGTTATTTTATAATAACTTTACAATACTTTAAAATAATTAAGACAGAAATATTTAACCCTTGGCTCTTAAAACTATTAGTCTGGAATGGATAAAGAGTTTTACCAAGTGCCTTTTAGGACCTATGTTATCTGAATTTAGAAGTTGTTTATGAAGTGAATTTTTATAAGTGAATCATTCTTAGCCAGTAACTTTACATTGCAGATTTCAAAACGTGTCTTTAGAGAAAATGCTTCAACCTTAAGCAAAATATATTTTTTGATACTGAAATGTTTCCCTCAAAAGGCAGTAGAACGTTTTCTTAATTACTAGATAGCAAAACATCTTCTTCAAGCAGAATGAGTTGAGAATATCTTCTTGGCCCTGGCATTATTCCAAGGGGCTCTTTTCACATTGTGCAAAAACTATCATTTTCTGCACGTTCTGAAATCAGAATTGCCCTGATTCAGGACACTACTACTGATTGGCTGTGTGACCTTGAAGCTGCCTCCTGCTCTGACTTGCTTGACTATACAAGACCTCTCCACTTGAACTTTTTATGGTGGAAGGGTTCTCTGTCATCATGGATGTTTGCCATTTACCACACGTGGCTGTTGAGTACCTGAAATGTGGCTAGCATGAAAAACCACACTTTAATTTTAACTGAACTTAAACAGTCCCAGTGACTAGTGGCTGCCATATTGGACAGTGCAGATCTGTACAATGATTCAGTGTATATCTAAGGTCATTTGTTTGTAACTCTCAAACTGTGCCTCTCTGAATATGGCTAGAAATTTTCTGAGAATCTTCTTATATTTCAAGACATGGAACCAACCTAAATGTTAACCATTCATTGACAGAGGAATGAATTAAACAAATTGTACAACATATACTCAGTGAAATACTACTCATCTATTAAAATAAGATGAAATAGTACCTTTTGGGACAAAATGGATGGATCTTGAAATGGTTATGCCCAGTAAAATAAGTCAGAAAATAAAAGACACTTGTCTGATGGTTTCACCCATTTGTAGACTATAAATGACCATAAAGAGAACAAACTAACAAAACAAGAATAATTCTTAAACTCTATGAGAAATTTACTGATTACTAGCGGCAATAGGGAGTGGGGGAGGTGGAACAGGGGTGAGAAGAAGATAGGATTGTGGCACTGGAGCTTGGTGGTGACTGAGTGAGGCATAGAGGAAGATATGAAGTTGTGCTCCCCAAATTAAACAGTTATGTAAATTAGTGGCAGCTAAACAAAACTTAAAAAAAAAGACATGTTAAAAAAAGAATTTGTAAAACAGGAGATTTTGGGAGGAAACCTGTATTTTGATTATAGAATTCTTAATAACATACTCCCTGTTTTCAGATTATGTACATAGCTATTGACTGGCTACTAATATCCATGTAAAAATAACTATTTGTATTATTTGTGGTTATTGACCAGTTAATGTGTTTTCATGGTGAATATCAAGATTTTTTTTTTCTTTTGCAGATGGTGAATTAATGCTCCAAGCCAAAATTAACTTCTAGATCATTTGCTTCTATAATGCTGAAGGATTGATTGGTTGTTCCAAAATCATATTAAGACCTTTTGTGTAACTGACCTGATTCACCTACTACTTTAGTATTATAAAGGGTTTTAGAGAGTGCTTCCACTTCTTGAAATAAATTTGATTTTGTATACATTTTTATTTCTAATACCTTCTAACCTTGTGTTTCAGCTCTTAGTTAATGTAGGTGTTCACATATAGAAAAATTATCTTTAGAAAAGTTATGTGAAAGCGAGTGAATCTATTTTGTTCCTGGTTGTAGTAACATCAGTGTGCGTGACATAAAGCCATGAATAATTTTATGCTTTGTAGATCATTAAAAAGTATTTTTATTTGGTATAAAATCATTCTGTCCCCCCCATCATGGATAATTGAATAAAACTAATATTTTTTATAAGAAATTGCTTTGGGAATGTAATTATTGCATACAATGTCAAGTACATTTCTCTTTGGTAATTAATTTATCATGGCATTACCCAGTGATGTTCAAAAGTTGCATTTGCTTACTCTGCATGTCTTTATTTCTAGGAATTTGTACAGATTCCCTGTACATACTGTACACGTTCAAAGGAAACAACATTAATAAAGTAAAGCATATATTAGTGTGTTTGTTTTTAGTAGTAAGCAAGCCATGCCATGAAAGTTTGAGGGAAAAGAGATTGGAAGTAATCATTTTAGTAGTTAGGAATAGTTATAATTAGGTATGATGCAGAAGCGATTCCAATGATGGTTTAAATTTCTGACTTTAATACTTAAACTTTGGACCAGTAATCAAATACCGCCAAGCTCTTTATTTGATATACCAGTAACTTGATGCATGCTTGGTAATGGACCCCATGCTGGAGTAAGATGCTTCTCTTTCAGGCAGCCTTTGAGTTGCTCACTTTTCAGAGATCTTTTACTATAGTGCATTTAAAGAATCAATACTTTTCCAAAGACGCAGTGTTTTTTCCCAAATTCTTTTATTTAAATTTCATTTTTAGAGATTAAGACCTTTGTTTGCAAATATACACTCATTATGTGGCTTCTTTGAGGGACAACAGATGTTAAATGACATGTTGATTTATAAAAAAACAAAAGAAAAATGAGATGTACAGTGGATATTACACCTCCTCTTGAAGAAGTATACACGTTTTAAAAAGTCCCATTTTCTTATAATGAATTTAAAAAGGGACAGATTTGACATTATCTCTAATTTTAGACTTCTTCCTCTAGAATGAAAGGGTATACTTTAGATGTGAAACTCCCTATATAGTATTTTGTGTTTCTTTAGTCCCAAATCTTTTTAAGTATTGATGAAGCTACTTAATTTGCTTTTGAAATACACACTATCACTTAACTTGTGTCATATGATGCAAACCCTCCCCAGACCAAGTGATTTTGCTTTATCTGCAGTTACTTTTGGGGCTCCTTCCAGTGTCTCAGCAGACCAGCTGTGACATATTCTTCCTGTGGCCATGACGGTGGGTGCCAGTGGTGATCTCAACTACCAAGCACCTTTCAAACTACTGCTTGGGTCACACATTTGTTAATTTCCTAGTGGCCCAGGCAAGTCATAGGGCCCAATACAAAGTCACAGACAAGGAAGCCAAGGAACTAGAATGTCTTGTAGAGGCCATGATTCAGGGAGGAGGGAAGAACTGGGGCTGATATTTCAATCTACCACGGACATTTGATGTGTCTATCTTAATTAAGGTGATCAAAGACTAAACTAAGCAAATGTTAAAGCAATGCAGAAAGAATACTAAGATTTAGTCTGCTTTGCAAAATTATTAATTGGTGAACTATGCAAAGAAGTGTGGAGTGTAAGGTGTTACTAAGTACAGAATAAGATTTAAGAATGTCTATCTAGTTCTTGTATTCTGCAAATCTTGTACTAGAGCAAATTCATTTCTCACTATCCTTTTTTTCTCTTCATTTGATATTTTCTTTTAGCAATCAAAAATTACTGCAGGCTAATACTTAAAAAATAATTTTCACC